CAGATTCAGGCATAGCAGAGTCCGCACCTGAGCGCTGATTCCTTCCAGGCTAGGCAGTGATTTGGAGTTACGAGGTAGTTGTTGATGTCCGCAGCCCTTTGTCTCTCTTATCCTCTATCATTTATGTTTTCTTCAGACTGTTGTATCAGATTCCGTACTTTGTTGACCTATAGCAGATTCTGTAGTAGCTCATGACTTGTNCTATAGCATATTCTGTAGTAGTTCATGACTTGTGGCACCCCGGATTGGGCATGTGTCGGGATGGTTCTTGCGGTCATTATCGTTAAATTCTGCAATTTATGAGTATTATATTATATGTTATTACCGTTTATGATGATTAACTGTTTAAAAGAGGTGTTCCGTTTTGGTCTGGCTGTCCTTGTCTTCACGAGAGTCACCATCACGACTGGGTTCGGGGATTGGGTCATGACAACAACCTTACAAAGAAGAAGAACAAATATAATTAGGGGTCTTCACACATCTGAAGGGAGGTGGGTGAGTGACCAAACTAAAATAGTTCAAGAAGTTGAGGCTTATTACGATACACTATTCTCTACATCTAACCCGACAAATTTCTAATGTATTCTAAATCATGTCAATATAACGATTAGTGACTCTATAAATCGAGAACTCATAAAAGATGTTAGTGAAGAGGAAGTAAAGAATGCGGTGTTCGCTATGCATCCTCTTAAAGCGCCAGGTGTGGATGGAATGACTCCTTTATTTTTTTAAAGATACTGGAATATAATATCAAAGGAGATTTATGAAGCTATTGATAGCTTCTTCAATATAGGTTACCTAATTCCTTCTTGGAACCATACTTTAATCACTCTAGTACCTAAAGTTAAAAGCCCTACTTTGGTCTCGCAATTTAGACCAATATGTTTATGTTCTACTCTTTATAAAATTATTGCAAAAATTCTTGCTACGAGAATGAAAACTCTTTTAACTAAGGTTATATCTCGACTCAAGCAGCTTTCGTTGGACATAGACAAATCACTGATAATGTTATCTTAGCACATGAATTTATGCATCTTCTAAAAAATAAACGCAGAGGTAAAGAGAAATTTATGGCGATGAAATTGAATATGTCAAAAGCATATAACATAGTTGAATGAATATTTATCCAGAAAATGCTTTTGCAAATGGGTTTCATGCTAGATTTGTAGAATGGATTATGCAATTTATTTCTACCCCTACCTATAATTTTAATATAAATGGGGAGGTAGTTGGATCAGTTAGGCCGACTAGAGGAATACGACAAGGAGATCCGCTATCACCTTATCTATTTTTAATATGTGCAAAAGGTTTATCTACTTTGTTGAAGATTTCTGAAACTCAAAATGAAATTCAAGGTTTAAAGTTAAATAGACATGGGCCGAGCTTAACTCACTTATTTTTCGCAGATGACAGTTTTATATTCTGTTCAGCTAACGCTCATAATGCAGTCCATGTAGCTGAGATTCTAAGAAAGTATGAGCAAAGTTCTAGCCAAGTGGTTAATTTAGATAAATCAGCTATTTGTTTTAGTAGAAATGTAATGGAGGGGGAGAAAGTCGAGATATTTTCCTTACTTGGACAACAACAAAGAAATGAGATGGGTATGTATTTAGAATTACCAGCTATCGTGGGACGCTCAAAGAAAAAGATGTTAGAGTTTATTAAGGATAGAGTCAAGACAAAAATAAAAGGATGGAAGGGTAAATTTTTAAGTACAGCAGGGAAAGAAGTAATGCTTAAATCTGTACTTGCATCAATCCCTACCTATGCCTTGTCTTGCTTCCAACTCCCTGATGGTCTATGCAAGGAGATTACATCTCTTTTTTCTAATTTTTGGTAGGGACAAACTGAGGATAAAAGGAAGATGCAAATTGAGAAATGGGAAATATTATGTGATTCTAAATCAAGAGGGGGCTTAGGATTTAGGGATTTAAAGGCTTTCAATATGGCTTTATTAGCTAAACAAGCTAGGCGTATATCTGTCGTACCCGGATTCATTGTTAACAAGAGTTCTTAAAAGCAAATACTTTCCACACTCAACTTTCCTTGACGCTTCTACATCCTTTACAGGATCATGGATTTGGAGAAGTATTTTGTGGGGAAGAGATCTATTAGTTACTGGACTAAGGTGGAGGATCTCTGATGGGAAAAATATAAATGTTTGGCCTAATCCTTGGATTCCAAGAAAGAATGGTTTTACTCCAAAAAGTATTCAAATGCAAAACAATTTAGATCTTAAGGTTGTCGACTTAATTGACGAAGATACTCATACCTGGAAACTTCATAAGATAAGTACGACCTTTGAACCTGAAGATGTAGATGCAATTTTGTCTATACCAATATCCATCATAGGTCTTAATGATAGATTACTGTGGCATCACTCAAAATCTAGAAACTATGAAGTTAAGTCATGTTATTATTTAGCAAAGGGTTTGGCCGGTAAGACTATTAGTAGCTCGGAAGCCCAGGTGAGTTGTCATTCTTTTCCTAAAAGCTTCTGGGATTCTTTGTGGAACTTAGAAATTAAAAATAAACTTAAACATTTTCTAAGGAAGTGTGTGATTAACTTTTTGCCCGTTAATTATACCTTAGCTAAAAGATTACAGAACCTGGATAAAACGTGTAAGATTTGTGGTTTTGAAATTGAAGATATAGAACATATGCTATTTAGATGTCCCCGATCTCAGCTTGTATGGAAACAAAGTCCTATTAATTGTCCTGATATTGACAGCATACCTGACTTTTCTGTGTGGTGGTACAACTTGTTCTTAAATGCTAAGCACTTTCCTGAATCAACTGAATTATTAGATTTGAGTGTTAATCTTATGTGGCAAATTTGGAAAGGTAGGAATGCTTGGTGCTTTAATTAGGAAATGTTAGAGCCAACTGAGATTGTTTCTAAAGCTCTTTTTGAGTATGGAGAATATAAATATCTATTGACTAGTTGTCTCGCTACACGACATTCAATTGGAAATAAGTTTCTGCCTAAACTAACAAATTTTCATGATGATATTTTATTATTTACAGACACAGGATTACGGTGTGATGATAGACATACGAGTATTGGTGTCGCGACTTTGAATAGCCTTGGAAAACCGCTTTATGCCCATAGATCCTCAATTCAATATGTTGGGAAAACCATGACTGCTGAAGCGATTGGCATAAGAAAGGCACTTGAATGTGCTATTACTCTTGGATGGAAAAGTGTGAAGATTTTATCTGATGCTAAGAATGTTGTTGATATGATCCAAAAACAGGTGGCTACTTCATGGGAGATAGAAATATTGTGTGAAGACATTTGGAAGCTATCAAGCTTGTTAGATCACGTCGAGTTTCTTTATATTCCAAGGAAGTTAAACAAAGTAGCACATAGTTTAGCTAAATTTTATATTTCTTTGTTGAAGGACATCTCCTAGGAGAAGTTTTTCCTAACTTGGGTTGTCCAGAATGCAAAGAGTACATTTGAACTTTGTTGTTCGTTGATGCAGTAATGTGAATTCTTTGTTTTGGAGAAAAAAATGTACGAAACGATGACAGAGTTGTTGAAGCCTAATTCATGTAACGTAAAGAAAGAGAAGACCTCGAAATGAATAAGTGTAGGAAATATTGGTAAAAATTACATGGGAAGCCCTATTTGGACGCCCCTTTTTAACCTGTAGCCGTTTTGTTTTTCTGTTTGCACTCATATTCATTTTTTTTGTTAAAAGACTTTTAAAAAGACTATTTTGCTCTTCTTTATTAAATGACTACTTTCTCTCCAAGTATACGCTAGTCCTCTACTGTCTCTCTCTCTCTCTCTCCTGTTATTCGCGTATTTTGATTTGTTTTTCTCTGAAATCAAACAGTTTTCGTCGTTGTTTTTGATTTTTCAACTGCTAGTCGTCGTTATTGTTCTCTAATAAAATTACGATTTTCTGGATTTTATTTTAGTATTAATTTTTACAATTTAATTTATGGTTTTGGTTTTGATAGTCATGTATTTATGATAAAATAGTTTCTTAGGGTTTAGTTTGATAAGTGCATTAGTTTTACTTTTACGATTACGTTTTTAGGTTTTTTGAATGTATTTTTGTGTTGTTGATGAAAATTCTATAAATTCTTCACTGATTAGACGTCGAAATTTTTAAAAGTTTTGAGAGTTAAATAGATGATACTATTAAAGTGTGAAGTTTATAATAGTTCAGTGATACCTTAGATATGAGCTGAAGTTTTGTTTCATGTTTTGTGTTTTTTTGTTATATTTTTTATGAACTTCAGCATTATTTTTGGATTTGAATTTGTATTTTGTTTATTGTAAAAACTACAACATGTTTTCTTTCTGAATGTTTTGTTTTGTAACTGGCGAACTTCAGCTCTAGAGCTGAAGGTTTTGTTTTGTAACTGTCGAACTTCAGCTCTAGAGCTGAAGTTTTTATTTGTAACTGGCAAACTTCAGCCTTCTTAGAGTTGAAGTTTTAACTGATTTTTTTGATAATGTACCTTGATGTTATTTTTTGTATCTTTTACTTTTTTTGAACAGATGACACCTAAAGTACCTAAAGATCCTAATGGAGTTAAAGCACACAAAGAAGTTAAAGCACCTAAAGCACCTAAACAACCTATAATACCTCCAGGTCCTTATGTCCCTGTTGCTCCACCTACATGACCAGGACAAAGGTATTTTGAGTTTCGAGATTGGTTTAACTCTAAGGGTTACTGGAATGGGAACCACGATTTGAAGAGTTTAATTGCAAGTTTCTTGACTCCTACACAACGGGATAAGCTTAATAATGGTACATTTTGATTATTATGGCTATGGAGAATTTCAAATGCAACATGAAGTTGGTTCATTATTTGTGTCTTTTATCGAATATTTACCAATGATCGAGACTCCATTAGTTTCAAGATTTTTGGCCATGATGTTTCTTTCACCATTGAAGACTTTCACATTATGTGTAGTTTGCGGATCACAACACATAATGTTGAAAAACCAATTAATCGAGAGAGCAATATTCTGAAGCGCTATTTTGGTAAGTTCAAGGGTGTGACCTTGAAAGATATTCGAGATTTTATGACTCGGAATGAAATTCCAAAGAATGTTGTGAATCACAGTCACGTATGCGAGAGTGATGATGATGTTGTGAAGCTTATGAAAATTCTTGTTGTAGAGTCTATTTTGTTTGGGAAAAAGACTGAATCATCTGTGCTGGAGGACTATGCAGCTATTGTTGAAGAAGATAAGGTTTGTGCTGAATATCCTTGGGGTAATGTATGTTATGAGAAGCTCATTTACTCACTGAAACATGCATTGGACAAACAGAACAAATTTCATTCAATTGAGTATAAAGTTGGTGGATTTCCATATCTGTTATGTGCTTGGTTCTATGAACGCTTCCCAAATATTCGGGAGAAGTATATAAGAGAGGATGAGTACCTTGATACCTCTCAGGTTCCCAGGATATTACGTTATGTATGTGTGGGAGAGCCTAAATATAACGAACTTTTTGATTTTTTCAGTAGTCATGATGTAAGTTAATTTTTTTTGTCTTTGTGTTAATATGTTGACATATTAGTTTTTTTCCCCTCATAATATACTTTTTTGTATTAAACAGAGTTATCACAAATTTAGGGTATTGGATATAATTCCTACAGAAGAAGAATTGAATTCAATGCCTTTAATTGGACAATTATCATGCAGTCGGATTCGTTCAAAGGTACTTAATGCGTTTTCTTCAACTTGTAAATCACCACGTAGTCTGAGTCGATCAAAAGAAGCGAATCAAACTCATGTTATTGGTGAATCACCATGTAGTCAGAGTCGATCAAAAGAAGCGAATCGAACTCCTGTTATTGGTGAATCATCCGTACCCAGAGTCGTTCTAACCATTCTACAATGGAGTTTGATGAGAATGAATTACTCGACACATATGTTCTGTAAGTTTTGATCTGAAGTTTTTTGATTGTGTTTTTGTAAAAGTACATCATGTTTTTGGGCTGAAGTTTTGTTCTGTTTGTGATGAACTTCAACATCATAATAGCTGAACTTCAACATTCTTTTATATCTGAATTTTTGTTGTGTGTCTATACTAGAGGATAACGATGGAGGTTCAAAGGCATGCAGAAAAAGAAAGAAGCACGATCATGAAAGAAGTTTTCGATAAGTTTAAATAGGATGAGCGATCTGCTATTGTGGATGCGGTTTTTGAAAAAGTAAAGGTAAACTAATTTATAGAGAAGTCTTTTTATTTCTGCTAATGTTATTCAAATTAATTATTGTTAGTAATTTGTTTTCTAGAAATATTTCGATGAGAAGTTTGAACATTTGTTTAAGATTGTCGACAAATCAAATGGAATTGACAACAGCAATTTTGATTTGAGTAACCATCGACAATATGATTGGATGAACGACTATTACGAACATCTATCGGATATTAATACTGTTGATGATGCATAACATAAAGTCACAGATGTAAATGCTACACGCGAGGAAGCAACTTTTGAAGGCGATCAACATGTTCAAGAACAAGTTGAAGAGGAACGTTCCAGTGTTGATAGACTGAGCAGAGATGGAAATGATGAACAGTTATCAACTGAGAATGTTGGAAGCAAGCAAGGTGCAGATAATCGAGTTGTTGATACTGAAGAACATGCTTCTCATGATGCATCGCATAAAGTCGCGAATGATAATACTACACGTGAAGAAACGACTATTGAAGGCGATGAACATGTTCAACAACAAGTTGGAGAGGAATAATCTAGTATTTATAGACTGAGTAAAGATGGAAATGATGAAGAGTTAACAACTGAGAAAGGTGCAGATGATCAAGTTGTTAATACTAAAAAACATGCACCGAGTTGTGCTTTGGGAAGTGATATTGGAAAAGGCAATTTGTTTGGTGATGGAGATCAAGCACCTGTTGGTACTTTAGAACTGACATCGAGTGATGTGTCTAGCACTATTGCGAAAGACAATCGGTATGCACAAACACTAGCTATTTGCAAGGAATTTGTAGGTAAAGATACACAGGAAATTTTTACTACAGATATAAAGTGTAAAGTTTATAATAGTTTAATGATACCTTAGATAGGAGCTGAAGTTTTGTTTCATGTTTTGTGTTTTTTTTTGTTATATTTTTATGAACTTCAGCATTATTTTTGGATTTGAATTTGTGTTTTGTTTTTGTAAAAAACTGCAACATATTTTTTGTTGAATGTTTTGTTTTGTAACTGGTGAACTTCAGCTTTAGGAGCTGAAGTTTTTGTTTTTGTAACTGGTGAACTTCAGCTCTAGAGCTAAAGTTTTTGTTTTGTAACTGGCAAACTTCAGCTCTTCTGTAACTGTCAAACTTCAGCTCTAAAGCTAAAGTTTTTTGTTTGTAACTGGTGAACTTCAGCCTTCTTAGAGTTAAAGTTTTAACTGATTTTTTTGATAATATTCTGTAGTGAAATTTTCACTACAGGTATAAATTTTTTCTATGTTATATACATATAGATAGGTCATTGATCTATTCCCACTCTTTATGAATATGCAGTGGAAGTTGAAACTAGTTGTGCTTCAATTGACACAACTCAAAAACTCTCTGATGATGCTGAATTGAATGAAGATAGAGTTGAGAAAAACCTTCCAGAGAAAACTCTAATGCTCCTTGACGTTGGTGCACAATTTAATGAAGCTGGAACTGTTGATATCGACAAAGGCATGCGGCCTGGGGAAACCACAGCGGAAGACAAATGTCAAGGTATTCTATAGATTACAAATTTATTACATTTGATCCAAGTATATTTTTTGCAGTTTGAAATTTTACATACTTTATTTTTTTGTCATGTTTTTGAATGATTTTTCAGAAAGACTCGATGCAACTCAAAAAGAACTTGGTGAGCTTATTCAACTATATCAAAAAGGAAAAATACATTTATTCACACCTGTTGGCTCACAGATAGGTGTGAAGTGTGTTTGTATTATTTTATAAAATTTAGTCAGTATTATTTTTTTTTTTGCATCTAGATATAGGCTTATCTGAAGGTAAAGGAAGTGGATCTGTTGGAATGCAAACACCATCTGTATCTCAATACTTAGACCATGTAGTTATTTTATGCAATTCGATTACAAGCTATTTTTTCCTAATGTGTTTTTGTATCAGTTGTATTTATGTTTATATTTTCCTTGCTTTTGCAGATCTCATCTGATGCATCGCAACCTCTTCCAAATCCTAAGAGAAGGAAGATTTTCAGTTCTCCTATGCGTGACACCAGTGATATCCCCAACTTCAATTTATGTTCATTTTTGCTGGGTAGCACACAAGGGACTGATTCAGAAGGTAATTCTGCTGTTGTTGTTGTTGGTCAAAAGAGATAAGAACGTCGTGAACAACATGGAGTTGGTCAAGTATCTGCCACGATGGCTGTGGTTTTCTCCCCTGCTGCTGAACAACAGTAGTTAGTTGTGACGGAACAACAGGAAGAGCAAGAAAAAAAACCAGATAAAAAGGGAAAAGGATTCGTTTGGAGAGTATTTGGTTGAGATCTCCTTATGTCATTCCTAAAAAAAAAGCGAAGGGGGCAAGATTGGAAAGTAGGAAAGACTACAAGCGTGTAATGTCCCTTCCATTATGTTAATCAAGACAGTGGATTGATGCAAAGATTTACAGAGTGGTTGGAGACAGATGCTGGTGAATATAATTCCTATCCATTCAGATTAACTGAAATTTATATTCCAAAATCATTTTTTACCGAGCTTGTGGATCCTACCTCTGATCTTTCGGATAAAGTAAGTTATTAAGTTTGTTTTTTGAATTGGTTTTCAACTGTATTTCCCAAAACTTCAGTTTATTTTTATAGTAAAGTTTTTGTACTGTAATTTGGCAAACTTCAGCATAACCTTGCTGAAGTTTTGGACATGCATTCTCTAGTTTTTTGTAAACTTTTAAATCAAACATGCTGAAGTTTTTTAGATTATTTCCTAACACTTCAAACTGAATATGCTTAAGTTTTTGTCATGCTGTTTGTAGTTTTGTAATTCGATTTTTCTAAACTTCATACTTATGTTTGCTGAAGTTTCTATTTTACATGTTTTCATTTGTTGTTGTTCATTTGCAGCATGTGGAAGTGGGCATATATTTCTTGCGCAAAAAATATTGCTATCACCTTCCAACTTATCCAAAATCAAGAAGTGCAGTAACAAATTTAGTTTTTGATCAGTATATGACCAAGTTGGCTAGTATTCATCCTTCAAAAGAATAGATGAAGAAAATTAGAAAAAGGAAGGAAAAGAGAATGGACTATAAAAAAGAGCAAATCAAAGAGAAAGAGGACATCCAAAAAAATAGGAATGTGAGGATTATGAAGAACAAGAAGAAGCGGTTATTGAGCCACTTACCGACTTTAGTTGGTTTGTTGAAGAATCAATGAATGAAAAGGTGGCCAACTACATAAAAGGCCTCAACCTTTCATGTGAAATCACATGGGCATCTGCTGAAAAAGTATTCTTTTCATTTCGACTTAAGCCACTATCGGGTCAGATATCTACGCACTACTTTTTTGGAATTCTGGGCTTTAAAGATAAAAATATATATGTGTATGATTCCATGGGCGATGTAACATATGAGCGTGAACTTGAACATGTCAGAAATTATGCCCGGTTGATCCCACACTGTCTTAAATGCTTGG